TATCTGTCAAGCAGTAGTGCAACGATAAAGAAGAGGCCTCCCGCAAAATTTTAATCCGAGCCTCTATATTAGCTACTCTCCCAATATTGTAAGGTTGCATTTCTTTCTTTTTTCTACAAATACTATCATGGTGAATGCTCAAATGAGCTATCTCTATTACGATAAACCAAAACTCATTCTTATTTGGCTTCTAATTCATCAAGTTGCATATTTTTATTGTATCTGTCCCTTCATGCTATAAAAACTTTTATTAGTTTTTTCCTTGCACATCAAAAAAACTTTATAACTCCTTCCCATATTCAAGTTTTACTTTTTTATACAAACTACAACTTTTCTGTTTTTTACAACAAGTCTTCAGTCAACCGTTTCCTAGTATTTTAACTTTTTATCTAAAGGTAATTTAGAATTTAAAATATATGGCAGTATTTAATAACTAGTAAATGTAAGCATAAAATTGTGTAATATAAAGTATAAAAAAATTTTTTTCTAGCCGCGGCTATTAAACCCTGCTAAACCATATAACTATGCCGGGGCCGAAGCCGAGTTTGCAACAAGTCTCATTTTTAGCCGTGGACGAGGGCGGGGACGGGACCCTGGGGACCCTGGGGACGGGACCCATTTAAAACCAAGTTTACAATAATAATTAGCAAATCAAAATAAAAATATCTCTAATGTTGAGCCAATAATAACATTAAAGCGTACTTCTTGGAGAATTAAAGGTTTTATGTTTATGAAGATACCTTGGACTGTTAGGAAACTTAAAAATTGCCAGCAAAAAAAATCTTAACAACAAAATCTAATATTTTGAAAAATATGTTTAAAGACTTTTTTATTTGAACTTATTAACAAATATATCACTATTTTAATTATTATTTAATCTTATATGGCTTTTTTTATATAAATTTGTAATAATGTCCCATAAATGTATATACACATATATATATATATATATATATATATATATATATATATATATATATATATATATATATATATATATATATATATATATATATATATATATAATATATATATATATATATATATATATATATATATATATATATATATATATATATATATATTTATATATATATATATATATATATATATATATATATATATATATATATATATATATGTATATATATATCTATATATATATATATATATATATATATATATATATATATATATATATATATATATATATATATATATATATATATATATATATATATAATATATATATATATATATATATATATAGATTTATTTCAAATCTATATATATATATATATATATATATATATATATATATATATATATATATATATATATATATATATATATATATATATATATATATAGATTTATTTCAAGTGTAACTTCTTTAGAAGTAGTTTTTTGCGAACTTTTTGCTTTAATATTTATTTCAAATTGTTATATTTGCAAACTGAAAATTCGTGCAGGCAATGAATCATTTTAATAACATAAACATACTGAGAAAGTATTATTGCTTAACAACTGATAGTTTTGCAATAACTCAGGGCTTTCAAAATGTTCGCCATGTTGCCCCGCTTTTCCCTATAAATAATAAAATAGGATGGACTAATATATATATATATATATATATATATATATATATATATATATATATATATATATATATATATATATATATATATATATATATATATATATATATGTATATATATATCTATATATCTATATATATATATATATATATATATATATATATATATATATATATATATATATATATATATATATATATATATATATATATATACATATATATATATATATATATATATATATATATATATATATATATATATATATATATATATATATATATATATATATATATACATATATATATATATATATATATATATATATATATATATACATACATATATATATATATATATATATATATATATATATATATATATATATATATATATATATATATATATATATATATATATATATATAGTATATATATATATGTATATATATATATATATGTATATATATATATATGTATACATATACATATATACATATATATATATATATATATATATATATATATATATACATATACATATACATATATACATATATATATATATATATATATATATATATATATATATATATATTTATATATATATATATATATATATATATATATATATATATATATATATATATATATATATATATATATATATATATATATATTAGCCATCCTATTTTGACCCTCATAAACAAATTTTAGTAGGAGGAGTGTCGTAAAATATTTCTACGGTATTGTTTTCTTAATAAAAAAAATTTATTTTTTATTCAAAATGACTATTTATTTTCTCGGGTGGGGGGAGGGGGAAATTCTCCCTCTTCCCCGAGAAAAAATCCCCTCGAGAAAAAATCCCCCTGGAAAAAATCCCACTAAGAAAAAATCCCCCTGGAAAATATCCCCCTGAAAAAAAAAATTTTTTTAATAAAAATAATTAATAAAATAGATATATTTATTTATTTAAAATAGTTTTATTAGATACTTCATTTTTCATCAAAATGTCAAGTTAAGCGCGGTAAAATGCGAACTTTTTTGCGATAGAAAACGTTATATTTTAAAGACCATCATTTTTATGATAAAAATAATAATTAAAAAAAACTTTCCAATTTCTTAATTATCTATTTTAAAGCTTTATTTATGAAGATAAAAATTGTATTTTTTAATTATATAACATGCACGGGATGTTGCTACATCGACTATCTTACAGCCTGATTTGCAACAAAGTGCTGCTACATTGACTGACAAATAGCCTGACTCGCAACGGAGTGCTGCTACATCGAGTGAGGGTTTGGTTTGGTCAGGCAGTCTATCAAATAATAAAAAAATATATATATTTTCATATTGTATTCGTCTAGTTTCACTTAATTTCCTTTTTTTTTTTTTTTTTTTTTAATAATTTTTTCGCTTAAAAGTCTTTAAAATATACCGCTAAATTAACTACGATGATTCGCAAAAAAGTTTACATTTTACCAGTTCGCAGTTCGTCGGAGTTATAGCATGTTCACACTAGCGATGTTCGGCGGAATGTTATTCCGGAACAAATGTTCCTGGAACAAAATGTTCCACAAAATGTTACTTGCAGCGTTCACATATAAAATTGGCTTGACGCTACATAAAAGAAAAAACGGTAAGTAAAAAAACTGTAAGTTAAAAAACGGTAAGTAAAAAAAACAGTAAGTAAAAAAAAGGTAAGAAAAAACGGTAAGTAAAAAAAACGGTAAGTAAAAAAAAGGTAAGAAAAAACGGTAAGAAAAAACGGTAAGTAAAAAAACGGTAAAACTCGAACAAAAATTAGTGACAAACAGTTTGGCAAATACACTTTATTAATTTTTAATATTAATTCATTTAATTATTAATTCAGAGGTAAAACTAAATGAAAATAACGCTAAGGGCTCAGCTAGCTCAGAGTTATAGGCTGTTCACACGAGGGTACATTTGATGGAACATTCCGTGGAACATGGAACATGAACAAATATCCTCTCGTGTGAACGCAAATGGAACAAAAATTCAAGGAACATTTGAGAGACTTTTGTATCGTACCGCCAACCCAGAACAAATAAATGTTCCAGAACATTTATTTGGTTTTTTATAAAAAATGGTGCCTATTTTCAACTATTTTTAAAATAAGCGTATGCATATAAGCTAAATGTTCAATAAAAATGCATTGCAAGATGCAAATTTGTTGTGAAAGTAACTCAAACTATTTTTTTTACAAAGTTGTTGTCATCTTAACCAGAGTTTTTAGTCCTTGATCTCTGCATTTTCCTAGGACTTGGTCATATATCAAGACAAGGTTATCGATATACTATTTGCCTTTCAACATGTTGCCTTGAAACTTTTAGTTTTTGCCTTCCATCTTTTTTATTGAATTCAAAACATTTCTTCGAATATAATTTCATATCTTTATTCATTCAGTAAAAACTTGTGGTAATTTCATGCAACCAAGGAAATTCCAATCCCACTCGTGTGGGATCAATCATGAGTAGACCAGATGGTGGGCAATTATTTACAAACAATTATTTGACCATCACAAATTTCAAGTTATTTTTAACGATATTTAAAATTTGTATAAATAGAATAGAAATTTAATTATTAGTGTATTATTAATTTAAAAAGAAGTTATATATTTGTGTTTAAAAACTTAAAATATAACATTACAAAGACAGTATTATTCTTATTAAGATCAGTTTTAATTTGAATTAACAAGAAGTATAATTCAAGGTAACATTTAACTTGCGTTAAGAAAGTTTAATTTTCATTGTTTAATAGTTTTTATTTAATTATATTCTTTGCAAGCATTGCTATTAATACATCTTTAATAAACTTATAGTAATTTTATTTATAAAGTTCAACTTTGAACTAATAAGCAGAGTTGTTTATCATTGGCCTTGCCAACAGTGATAATAATAATAATAATAATAATAATAATTATTATTATTATTATTATTATTATTATTATTATTATTATTATTATTATTATTATTATAATAGAATAATAATAGTAATAATAATAATAACAATAACAACAATAACAATTGTTAATATTATTATCATTATTGTCATCATTGTTATTATTATTTATATTAATATTAATAATGATATTATTATTGGTATATATTGTTATATATGAGCTTTGTCATATATTTTATTTATATGTCATATATATTTTATTATATTAGCTTTGTCTTATCTTGTTATTTTAATTTGTCAACATTACCATTAGTATTTTCCTCATAAATATTCTGTATTTACTTAATATTAGTTAATTTACTGTTTGTGAATAATTGTGAAAGTAAGACCTTTATTCAGATTATATATTATTGATTGACTGAATTGATATGACTGTACCTTATATCTTTGCCACGATGTACTACAATTATTGACATTTAAAAATAAAAATAAACAATAGTTTTGAAAGATCAATGTTATTAAATAACATAATTATCACATTGCATGGAAATGTAAAAAAAAGTAAAAGTAGCATCTGAAAGTTTCTGTTCTCTTGGCTACCAGTTTTTGGCAATTTATTAAATTATTTAGTAAGCCCATAACATTATTAAATTATTTTAAGCCCATAACATTTATAATAATTATGAAGTTTAACCTTTAATTTTATTATTAACTATTTCTCTTCTTTTTGCTGTTGTTGTTGTTGTTATTGATGCAAGATTTAATGTACTTATCCTTTTTAGTAGGTAAAACTTTAATTTTACACAATGTCTCAGCATTCAGAAAAAGAGTTTATTGACGCTAGCACAACAAATATTGGTCTTTGCACATCTCCTTTAAATAAATTTGTATGGAATATGGCTAACACAAGAGTATTATTAGATTTATGGAAAGATAATTACAAAGCATTAACATCTGTAAGAAGAAATACAAATATTTACAAGCAAATGGCAGCTGAATTTTCAAACACATTTAATATCGTACCTCCGTTAACTGGATATCAAATTCAATCTAAAATTAGTAATTTGAGGAAACAATTTAGGTTTGTACATATTCTACATTGTTTGTACATATTCTAATGTTTGATACCTTACTGAAATACTGAAAGTATTTTACAAAACTAACCATGTGTAATAATATCTAATTGCAATTTAGTTTGTAACTGAGTGTTATATTAAAAATTACTTAAATCTTATTCAGTATTAAAGATTTACAGCTCGTTGATAATTATTTTGTTAATAATTCGTTATTTTATTATTCGTTAATATTTCGTTAATTTTGTTAATAATTATTTTGTTAATAATAATTTGTCCATTTAAAGTTATTTGATTAATGTTATACGGTGTTAATGATGTCTTATATTTACTTATATTTATGTATATTTTTCATAGACAAGAAAAACATCAAGTTGGTTCATTGATAGGAGCTCCTAGTAAATGGTGGCCTGAAGATATTGTTGCCAAAATAATAGGTGGTGAAGCTTCCCTTGACAATGACCTTTTATCTCAAAGTCAAAACTTTTCTACTCAGGATTTTCAAGATGGTCAGGTAAGTTTAATATAATTTATTGTTGTATATTTTAAAGTGCTATATATTTTTTAAAGTAATATAAACAAGCATGTTAACTATTTCTACAAAATAAGGTTTAAGAGGTTCTTAGTTTTGCAACATTTGGCAGACTTAAAACATAAAGATCAAAAACATATAATATAAAGTTTTTGAATTATAAAATGGTCTTTTAATATTGGCTAGATCAATTTGTAAAATGCTATTGTCTAAATAGATCCTTTTTGTTTAGGGAAGGAAGGGAGTAAAATGACTTCAAGTCAAGTCTTTCAAAGTCAAGAGATAAATTTTGATTGAAACATGATTTATAATCATTTCTCAAATGTGTAATTTTTTTAATGTGTATATTTTATTTACAGATTGTCACAATGGAAGATGGCAAGGAGACTGTCAGTATTTTAAATATTGAAGCTTTGGATGATACAAGTGATGTGCAATCGATTGTAACTATTCCTGATGAGGAACCAACTCAATCTACATCCGGCTGCAATAAACGAAGGAACTCTGATGATGAAAAAACTTTGAATAAAATAGCAAAAACTGAACCAGTGAGAAAAAATAAAAAAACAAATTTTTCTTCTGAATATTAAAAAATAGCAAATAAAAATCTAGATGTTCAAATCCGTTCGCAAGAGCTACGAATCAGAGAGGTTGTTGCTTTAGAGCGTATTTGCGATGCAATTGAAAATGCATCTAAAGCCCTAGTAGATGTGTCTAAAGCCTAAGTAGAATATTATAAATTTTTAATAAAAAAATAAGGTGTTCTATTAGTCAAGATATCTTTTTAGTAATTATGTTAAAGTTGAAAGGTCAGTATTTTTTCAACAGTATACCTTGTTTACAATTCTATGCAATATATATTTCTTAAGGTTTTTCAATGTTTTAACTAAAGAGATGGTTAGTGAAATATTGTACAAGCTTGTAGATGAAGCTCTATTTATATATATTTTTTCATGTTACCATATTACTTTTATGAAAGGAATTTTTACTTTATGTAAAATAAAATGATTTTGTGATTTCAAGCATTAAAATGTATATCTGGTGGTATTTTTTAAATTTGTCATGTTATTTTATAAATACCTTTTTTTGTATCTCTATGCTATATATATTTAGTATTTTTACCAAATAACTATTTTTTTGCGATATGAAGCAAGCCTGTAGATGAATTATAGTAAGCATTTTGGCCGTACTTCGATCAAGAAGTAGAACATTAATCAATGATGAATCAATCACCCACCCATTTTCATATTTAGATTTAGCTTCCTTTAAGTTAAATCAACAAGGGTCTCTGATTGAAAGAAAAGTTTGAGTTAGGCCGAAAAGTTCTCAATAGTTTAATGAGATTTTTACACAAATGGAGGAATGTGAATTTAAAGAGCATTTTTGAGTAAATCGTAACATTTAGTTTCCTAGTTAATCAATTGCATCCACATTTAGGCAAAACTACCACAACTATGCGAGAACCTATTTCAGTAGTAAAACGTGTTGCAGTTGCATTACATTATCTAGCTTCATGTGAAGAGTATCGTGTTGTGTCTGACCTTTTTGGCATAGGAAAGTCAACAGCAAATTTAATTGTTCATGAATTTATTAATGCTGTTAATGACAATTTGCTCCCGAAATATGTTAAATTTCCATTGTCAGTGGAAAATTTAAATAAACATAGTAGAGATTTCAAAGCTATTCTTGGTTTTCCACAATGCGTTGGAGCTGTTGATGGATGCCACATCCCTATTTCAGCCCCTAAATATCAAGCAATTTCTTATTATAATTATAAAGGGTGGTATTCCATTGTACTTTTTGCCGTTGTAGACTGTCGATACCGTTTCATTTGTACAAGTGTTGGATCGCCTGGTAGAAATAATGATAGCTATATTTTGCAGAATTCTTCTTTGAAAGCAATTTTAGAATCAAATCTATTTGATAGATGTTGTAAAGAGCTGGACGATTCTCTTGTTCCGCTATGTTTGATAGGTGATTCAGCATTTCCTTTAACGCGTCATTTGTTAAAACCTTATCCTGAAATTTTGGAGCTTAGTGAAATTCAAAAAAATTTCAATAAAATACTTTGCGGAGCTAGAAGAGTAGTTGAGAATGCTTTTGGGCGCGTTAAAGCTCGACTCCGTGTAATTTTCAAACGTATGGAATGCGATATTAACTTTGCTACAAAAATTGTTAATGCTTGCGTCACTCTTCACAACATTTTTGAATATTATGACGATATTATTATAGAATGGCTTATGCATCATCATGAAGACAGTCTAGCTCAACCCTATACAGTTTCTACAACTGGGAACAATGGACCAGGAAAAAATGTTCATGACTCAATTGCTAAATACCTTTATGAAAGGGACAAGTAAAGTAGTAATAATATTATTTATTATTTAAAGCTTTAGCTGTAATATGGTTATGTATTTAGTAGTTTTGAACTAAACTTACTTTCCTTGAGGTTATTTTCTAACTAAACTTACTTTCCTTGAGGTTACTTTCCTTGAGGTCTAAATAAATAAATATTAAATACGTATGAACACAAAATGAGATTAGTTTTAACTGGTCGTGGGTAACTTATTAATGTATAATATGTTTATTCGGTACTATACCACTGATGGACTACTATTCTGTGTCGTCAAAAGCGACGAAAGGAGATATAACCTATCCATAAAAGCCAAGAAACGGGATAACAAAATTCCAACGTCACCTTTTGTATGGCGGGTATTTTGGGTTGGGTTTCCATTGTCTAACTCTGAGCAAGCTAAACCCTCAGCGTAATTTGCATTTAGTTTTACCTCTCATAAATGAATTAATATTAAAAATTAATAAATTGTATTAACAATGTGTATTTGCCAAACTGTTTGTCACTAATTTTTATTCGAGTTTTACCGTTTTTTTACTTACCGTTTTTTCTTGCCGTTTTTTCTTACATTTTTTTTACTTACTGTTTTTTCTTTTATGTACCGTCAAGCCAATTTTACATGTGAACGCTGCAAGTAACATTTTGTGGAACATTTTGTTCCAGGAACATTTGTTCCGGAATAACGTTCCGCCGAACATCGCTAGTGTGAACATGGTATTAGGGTTTCACATTCGCTACCTTCGAGGATTAGCGCATAACTTGACATTTTGATGAAAAATGAAGTAAAATTAAACAATAAAAGAATGTTTTAAAATACTACAATAGTAATTTTATCAACTTTTTATGAAAAAAAAAAGTTATTATAAATAATATACTTTATTATTTATATTAAATTTTTTTTTCATAAAAAGTTGATAAAATTACCATTGTAGTATTTTAAAACATTCGTTTATTGTTTAATTTTTAGATGTAAACAGTGGGTCATCAACTGTCGTAGGAAATTTTGTATTTTTAAACAAAAAATATGTATTATTCTACAAATAATTATGGAAAACGTTTGTTACAATCAGCAATTCCTACTATTTTTAACATCCCAAATCCTCCTCCACTTCTTGGTTGTAAAAGGAAACCACCAGTTGAACGTCATTCAGTTCCAGCGAAAAAGTAAGTTGTTTGTTTACTTGTTAATTTAGATTAGTAATTTAGAGAGCAAAATATCTACTAATAAAATAAATTTCAACAAACTTCAAAGGTTAGTATTAACATTGCGAGTCAAAATCTTTAGACTACATAAACAAGTTCGACATTTAAAATCCAAAAAAAAAAAAAAAAACTGTGACGGATCTGTAAAACATATTTTAAATTTATCCAGAAAATACTTATCACCAATACAAGTTAGTTTTTTTTAAAAGTCAATTAGAAATGAGTAAACAATTCAATAAAGGAAAAGGCTGGGCAGTTTGTGACAAAGTTTTGGCTTTGCGAATTCTGTTTCATAGTCCTCAAACTTTTAATGTCTTGCGAACAATATTCTGTTTACCAAGTCAAACCTGTTTATTATTATTTTTGTCCCGTGAATTTTCAGATCTTCAAGAAGGGTTTTCTACTCGATTGTTTCTAAACTTTATTAAAATTACGTTCTGATGCAATGAATTCGCTTGATCGTAATGTCAGTCTTGTTATAGATGAAATTTCATTAAAGCAGCATTTATAGTATGATAGAAATTCTGACAGGGTTTGCAATATGAAAAATGGAAAACTTTTAAACCAGGCTCTCTTAATAATGGTTAGAGGCCTAGCAAATAAATGGAAACAACTAATAGCTTATTTTTATAATAATTCAACAGCAGCAACAGCTGACTTGGCTTCTTTACTACGTGAAACCATTTCTAAGGTTCAAATAACTGGTTTATACATTAGATGTGTAGTTTGTGATCAAGGATCTACTAATATAGCTGCCTTACGTTTGCTTGGGTTTTCCAAAAATTTACCATTCTTTCCTAATCCTTCCAATAATAAAAATATTCGAGTTATTTTTGATCCTCCGCATTTAGTAAAAAGTATCAGAAACAATTTGCGAAGACATAACATTGACATAAATGGTGAAATAGTTTCTTGGCAACACATCCAGTCTCTTTACAATTTAGACAAAATAAACTCTGTGCATCTAGCGCTAAAACTAACAGATAGACACTTAGACCCTGGTCCTTTTTTATCTATGAAGGTTGCCACTCAAGTTTTTAGTTATCAGGTTGCTTCTGCATTGTATCGCTGCTCTAATACAAATTTACTTCCTTTAAGTGTATTACCAACAGCAAGATTTGTTGAACGCACAGATACTTTATTCGATATATTGAATTTATATAAACTATATGCAGATAAACCAGCTCGTTGTGCTCTAACTTTAAAAGAAGCCAGTATTTGTCAGTTGGAAAAGTTAAAGCATTGGATTGAGAAATGGAAATTTTGTAATTTTAGAAGTCAAGCAAGTATATCATTGGGTTTAAGTGTCACAATTAGTTCCAACCTTAAGTAGAGAGCTATTTTTTGAAGGTTTTTAGTTTGTTTGTACTTCTCCTTTTGATCAGGACTGCATTGAGAATTTTTTTTCCATTATTCGAAGCAAAGGTGGTTGGAATGACCGCCCAAATGTTAGACAATTACGAGCTGCTTATAGAAATACTTTATTACTTTTATCTGTAGAAAAAAGTAAATCCAATAGCAACTGTATAAAGGATTCAAACTTTGATTCAGCTTTCAATCTAAATGATTTTATGAAGTATTGTAATCAAGCTACCACTAATTGTGGAATTTATGAAACAGAAAATAACAAACCTATAGGAATATCTTATTTTTGTCCAGGGTCATTTTATATGTTTACTGGAAAAACTTTAATGCAACCAAAGGATCAAACCCTTTTACACATGATTGGATGGCTTATTCAAAAGATTAAATTATGTCATAGGTGTGCAGATGTACTATTTCTTAGTTCAGCTGACAATCCATCAGCTTTTATATCACTACCCAGACAGCAAGCTTACCTTGGACCAACGTTGGGCCAATGCATGATGATGCATTGGCCCAACGTTGAAAGTCGATGTTGGCCCAATGCAGGTTTGATCATTGGTTAGGTATTGGCCCAATGTTGTGTACAACATTGGCCCAATGTCGTATACAACGTTTACCCAACATTGGCCCAACGTTGTATATAACGTTAGGCCAACGTTGTATACAACATTGGCCAAACGTTGTATACAACATTGACCCAACGTTGTATACAAAATTGGCCTAACGTTGTATACAACATTGGCCAAATATCGTATGTTATATATCGGCCTAACGTTTTATGCAACATTAGATCGTTGTTACAAATAAGATGATTTGCATCGCTACATTGAAAATTTATAGAGAAAAAAAAGAATGTATGATATAAGTATAAAAATTTATTTAACATAATTTATCGGTTAAATATAAATATTGCAAACACCAAACTTAAACCAAAAACTGACACATTGAGTTTTAAATAAAAAAAATTCACTATAAAATTTATAGAGTAGTTTCGATATTGGCTGAGCTACTTGTTATTGAATATTGTTTAGCTTATGATGTTTGGTGCCCATGATTATTATTTTTTCTTCCTCTATCTCTATCACATGTTTGCATAAGCCATGCTTATTTGACTTCACAGTTTCTGCAAAAAAAAAAATAGTTGTTTGTTTAATTATGCACCAAAGAAACATAATAAATTGAAAGTAATTCTGTAATGCAAATTTAAAACTGAAAAAATAAACTTTTCTAAACCACTTTTATAATAGCAGCATATGCAATCAACACTTTTTCTATTTCAATTTTTTGTTTTCTCCCTGCATAGTTTAATTTTACAACTAGGCCATTTTAAAAAACTATTCTTAGCAAATAAAATATACAATCTCCTTTGTCTTTAACTCCGATTTGTGCCAAATAATTGACCTGCAAAAATACACAACCTGGCAATAATTAAAGTAACTTTTGTTTAGACTTAAATTAATATAAAATGTAATTTACAAAAAATCTTCAAAGAGTATTTTATTTAAAGTATATAAATTGTACTAAAATATCATACAAAATGCATAAAAAAATTATAAAAAAATATTTACCATTTACTTACGTATTTTCTTTTCTTCCAGAGTACTTGAATTCTTCACTGCAATTGCCTCTTTCTTGCAATTGCCTCTTTCAGGCAATACAATAATTAGCATACCTTCGTTACTCAAATTTTTTAACTGAATTTGATGTGTTTTGTAGTTTACCAAGTTGTACTTCAATGACGACTAAGAATGAACACTAAGAAAAGCATAAGTTTCAGAAAAAAAAAATGGGTAGCACCAAAAAAACATAATAGCTTAATTGAGCGTTGTATTTTGAAAATGTGACAAGTCACAAAATTAAAATTTTACAAGGGAGTGAAAAATATTTCTCCTGTAAAAAATTTTATTCTTATTTTATCTAAAAATTGTTTCTTTTCTCTAAAACAATCTTTATTTTATCTAAAAAAATCTTTATTTTATCTAAAAAAAATCTTTATTTTATCTTAATATTCTTTTATTTTAAGTGAGGTTATTTGAAAAGAATATTTACAAAAAAATATTCTTTTCAAATAACCTCACTTTTAAAAAAAGTGTGACTTATCACGTTTTCAAAATACAGCGTTCATTTGTGAAACGAGTAACTTCTTAACTAGAATTACTGATTTTTCCATGACTATCTAAAGAAAAAAATAATTTCCTGACTTTTCCAGGTTTTCCACGACTTTAGCCAATATTAACAAATTTTACAGATTTTCAAGGTACAGTACGGACCTTGTCTAATGTTTGTAAATAATTTTTTTTACATATTTTAGTTCTGAATTTTAATAACACTATTTTTAAAAATAATATCATCTATAAAAATATTGTATTACCTTCGTCTATTAGATAAATTTAAATAAACGTTTATATAATAAATAATAATGAATCACCATCAACTGTT